GGGTTGTGTTGCTAGTACGACCGACCCGCTTTGAACGGTTCGTGATCGCTCCCTCTGGCTGGATGAATATTACACATGATCCATGCAATACTGCAGCTGGGGGCTCTCCGCAGCGCCACACAACTTTCTAAATTCTTCTCTCACGGAGAAAAGAAAGGTCAAGTCGCAAACACAGCCGCAGCTGTTGTGTGAAGCATAATTGTAGCAAAATGGCTGCATATGATAATAATAATAGCCTTATTACTGATCTGGGCATATATGAGGTGTAACTTTATTGTTATTGTGCATCACAGGTTATGTTACGCAGTAATCCAAAAGTAATGTAACTAGTAGTGTAACTAGTTTCTTTCAGCAGTGAGAAATCTAGTAAAGTAAGACATTACTCTAAAAAAAAAGTAGTAATGTGAAATCCATTACCTTTTTTGAGTAACTACCCCAACACTGATGATAACTAAGTTCAATTGAGCTAGTGTTTCAGGACTAAAGCTAAAGACTAAAAGATTAAGGACACCACCTTAGTGCTTTGTTGGTTTTCTCAGCTGGTATGGTGCTCAGACGGCTCCTCAACTAGCTGCTCGGTTCCTTGGTGTTCGTGGTCCCTCAGTGGCTTGGCGCGCCACACAGCCGGTCGCCAGGACTGGCTTTCTGCTAGCAGGTTTGTCCCGGGGGTCCATCCTAGTTGGCTGTTAGTTGCTGAAACTCTGCAGTGATAGGGGCGTTAGCCCTGGCTGGTGTTTGTTGATGTCCTCGATGTTGCCTCTGACGCGATCCTAACTGACTCACGTGATTGGCCCCAACTCCGTTTGTCGTTGGGAGCAACTTAGTGGAAGTTAATTTGAACCGAAATAAAGCTTTAAAAGAAACTTGGTTGTTTCTGAATTAAGAGTTGCGAGAATTAAACGGTCTGATGAACTTTAAACAAACAAAACAAAAGGTAAATTTACCTAAGGTTCTCTAGACCTCGTAGTATAGGCTAGGTACGTTGCTCTGCGATAAAGGAAAACTTAGAGTCGCGGCTATTCTTCCTCGGGCCTTGTCTGTTTTGAATAATACAGAGGGTTAAGAACTTAAAAATTAATTGCATATTAAATTGCAATCGCAATATTGGTATAAAAAAAATCTGTTTATTATATTATTTTCCAAAATCCTTCAGCCCTACACACATGTTACAGCTGGAACGGCTACAATAGTGTTGTATGTTGGGGTGTGGGCCACTTTGCTTGTTTCCTGTATTCACAACATCCTGACAAAACGTTTGACTTGTGTTATATTTTTGCTCTCTCTCACCTAGTTTGAGAAACGAATAGGTCATGTCATGTAATAGTTTGGGCTAAATGCTATAATTTCATGAACTCTGCAGTTCCCCCTTACATTTAAACATGATTCCAATGAATGATAATGTCTGTGTCTGTCTGTTTGGACGGTTTGATCACATTTGCCATAATGAATATTAAAGCTAATAATATGTCAGATGTTTTGTTCTTGACTTGTTCCACTGCCCCCAAGTAGCCGCAAAGCAGGTAATGCAGCTTCAAGTCAATAAACAAACTAGCACAAAAAGGTACACAGAAGCTCTTGTAGTCATGCATTTATCCTGAATAAAACAACAAAAAAACGTTAGCCATCTCTCCACACATACTGCATTAATCCAGCATCACTACTTAAAAATTTTCTCAGCAATAAGGCTGTAGTGCATCAGGCATATATGTATGAGATTTCCTGTGGCCCATTTGTTTTTCTCTGACCTACGGACTCTAAATCCCCAGTAACAGATGGTGAATGGTACAGGCTAGTAAGACTACATGCAACTGTCTAAGAGACAGGCACAATAAAGCGGAGCTGTGTATCCACACTGTCATAAAGTCTCTTTAACTCCCTCGACACTGTACATTAATGCCTGGCTCTATTACTACAGCTACTGACTTTTTCAGCTCCTCAGTCTTCTGCTTATGGAAGCAGGTTGTCCATTTCCTCCAAATCCCAGCTCTTAATCCCCTGTGTCATACAGGAAGCAAGCTAGCCTTTCATGCACTGTGAATTTGGGATGAGTCAGCTGGGGAATTATGCAGCAATGCATGTTTCAGAACTGTAGTGGCTATAAGGTGGCAAAACTCCATGCTAAGAAGAAGACAACTTCATTAATCCCTCTAGGGGAAATAAGGTTTTTACACTCCCGATCAGTTAGGGGTTCAAGGCTTTGCTGAAGGGCATATTGGGCAGTGCCCAGGTAGTTGAAGTAGCACCTCTCTAGCTAACAGTCCACGCTCCATATGACTGGTCCATGCTGGACTCGAACCAGTGACCCTCCATTCCCCAAGGCAGTTACCAGACGAGATAATCAAAGGTCTAAAGTCTGGGTCACCACATGATCTTTTCTCACCTTTTGGTGAAGAGTAATGAGCATTAGCATGTTAGCTTCACAAAGCCTGCCTCAGTTTGAGCTCGGATTATTGCGGGCTTGCAAGTTTCATAAAGCATTTGCATGGGACTAATGTCATTTTGAACACACAGTTATCTCCTTCATGTGAACATAAGCATGAACTGTGTACATTGGCATATGGCAATAAATGTTTAGTAGTTCATAGTAATCATAACGCTCGCCTAGCAGCTAGCCAGTCACACCATCAAAAACACCAGTGGAAAAACACACTGAGCTGCAGCGCACAGTGACAAGATGTCTGCCTGCTGCCTTTCCTCTCCCTTCCAATCACTATCTACCCTCCAGGCAGTCAATGTACATAAAGTTGTTACTGCGATGTAGAGACAGAGCTCAGTTCAAACTTTATGGATGAAAGAGACTTTTGTTACAGATTAATAACTCTCCACTCTAAAACTCTTGCTCAAGTCCATGTTGCTTAGCTGGTCGGCAACATGTAGCCTACAGCTGAACCAAAGCCGTGTGTACCGACTTCTCATGACCCACCCTACTCTGCTTCTGATTGGCCAGTAGTCCTTAACTAGATACTGCACATGTGCAACTCTGATCAAAGATCTGGTAAAAAAAAAAAAAAAAAAGGAATTGAGCATCAAGGCCTGCAGTCTGAATGTAGCCTTAATTTGTTTACCAAGTTTAAAACCTTGTAAATGTTGATCCTAAAACTGGTGCTCATATGTTGGGGAAAAAGTCCTTAAAACTTGATTTTTGAAATGTGCAGATGTACATTTGCACTTGTATTGCTGGCTGACCCAATCCCAATCTCCAGCCTAAAACCTGAACCCTCACAGACTTTGTCGATGTCACCTGTTAAGTGTGACTGTGGCAGGCTGCAAGTGCCCAAAATGGTGTAAAGAGACATCACTGGAAATTGTATAATGGGACAGTATTTTGCAACATATCACATATGTTATTAGGTTGTCAGATATTGAGATGAAGACAATCTGGGGTCTACCCAAAATAACACAGAACAGATTAAAACACAACACATAAAAACCATACACTGTAGAAGTGTAACATAACACACAGAAAAACTATAAGTATTACCTACCCGCCCACAAAGTGTTTCTCCAAATGAAGCACAGGTGTCCCTCCAAGCCCGGATCTGCGTGACTAGCTCCCAGAAGAACAGTAAATCCACTGCCAATTATGGATGATTTTAGTAAATAAAACAAATTGGCAGTCTCTCATTAAGTAAAACAGGACTATCTGAATGGCAAATAAGTCATGTCAGAATAATAGTCAAAATTAATGGTTGTATTTCAGATGAGTTGTATGTTAGCACTTGTTCACTGCAGGGGTGTATCTTGAGCCCCCTATTGTTCACATTGTATACTCATGACCTTGAAGCCTCTATGCTAATAATGTGATAATCAAATATGCCGATGACACAGCTATCATTGGGCTGATTAGTTCAAACGATGAATCTCATTATCGCGAGGAGGTGGAGAATGTTGTTCAATGGAGCAAGGAAAATAACTTGCTTTTGAACACTTCAAAAACATGTGAACTTGTTATTGATTTTTGTCACAATAGGAATCATGTGCCTCTTACTATCCATGACTCCAATGTGCAGATTACTGAGAAATGTGAATTTTTAGGTGTGACTCTTTCACATGATTTGAACTGGAGCTCTAATACGACTAAAATTGCTAAGAAAGCGAGACAGCGCCTCTTCTTTTTACGTAGGCTTCGAGAGTTCACTCAAAACACTAAGATTCTTTTGAACTTTTACTATTGTGTAATTGAGAGGGTCCTAACTAGATGTATTACTGTGTGGTTTGGTAATCTCACCTTGAAAGAGAAGAAGGCTTTGAACAAAGTGGTTCGCTCAGCCAGCAGGATCATTGGCTGTACTTTGCTCGCTCCTGGAGGTTACATATAAAGCTACACTTTTGAATCGAGCTTTAAAACTTGCTAATGATGCATTAGGCCATCCTGCAGGGGCCTTCTTTGAGATGCTTCCCTCAGGGAGAAGGTATCGCTCTGTCAAATGTTCTACCGATCGCCATTTCAACAGTTTTGTTCCCCAAGCTGTGATCACTTTAAACAAAGCACCTTAAATTAGGCACTTTGTGGCAATTGCTTGTCTGTTTTATGTTATGTCTCTTATGTTTTTTATGTGGTGACATTGCACTTTGAGCTTCTTGCATATTCTTTTCCAATGTGGTTTTATACTGCAAATGGCTAATAAAATGAATCTGAATCTGAATATGATTAGCCCTTTGTATAAACACAGAATTCATGTTTGATCATCTGAAGCGTCGGGGGGGGTATTTAATTTAATTTCATATTGTTGTAATTACCTGATTTTATTTCATTGCACTTTGTAACTTTGTTTTGAAAAGTTTTTTATAAATAAAGTTTGTTATTATTAATAGTAATAATATAAGACTTGGCCAAGTTCTAAGATTCTTGACACTGGCCTATACTCTCATGCACACACAGCCCAGTGGACATAAATCAAGTGGATTTAGAAATCAGGAACAACAGAATGAGCCATTAAAGGAAATAGTGCACCTGTGTGGTTCAGCCTGACAAAAGGCTCTGTCTCCTTGTGGTGCAGGATGGACGTCTGAGGCCTGGAGATCAGCTCATTGCCATCAACAAGGAGTCCTTGATAGGTGTGACCCACGAGGAGGCCAAAAGCATGCTGAACAAAGTCAAATTCAGGTGGGTGATGCCATAATCGTCCTGCTTACTTCTGCATATACTATATGCATAGTCCTGTGCAAAGGTTTTAGGCAGGTGTGGAAAAAATGCTGTAAAGTAAGAATGCTTTCAAAAATAGACATGTTAATTGATTATATTTATCAATTAACACAATATAGAGTGAACAAAAGTAAAATCTAAATCGAATCAATATTTGGTGTGAAGAACAGAAACCCTTTGCCTTCAAAACAGCATCTGTTGTTCTAGGAGCACTTGCTTAAAGTTGGGGATTTTGTAGGCATATTGTCAGGTGTATGATTAAACAATTACACCAGACAGGTGCTAATGGTCACCAATTCAATATGTAGGTTGAAACACAATCATTAAGGGAAACAGAAACAGCTATGTAGGAGGAATACAACTGGGTGAGGAACAGTCGAACTCTGCTAACAAGGTGAGGCTGCTGAAGACAGAGTCTGGTCAAGTCTGGTCAGATGTGGCCTTCATGGACCCTGGCACCTATTTCTAGGAAAAACGCCTAAAATAACATACCCAAAATAAATCATACCTCCTCAACCATTAGGCCTAGATGCATAATTCTGGTCTCCTTTGAAAGGTCAGAAGCTAAGGAATATAAATCCATTGTATATTAACATATTTAATTTACCATTACAGACTACATGGAATACAGAAAAAATATATTTTCATCCTCGCCTGGTAAAAAAAAAGCTATATTTTAATGCAATAAACCATCAAAACCATCAGTAGGTAGATTATAATGCACCTGAATATCTTCTAATACACCTGGAATACAACTGTAAATTTGATGAAAAGAAACTGATATACAACAGTTATCACAAATCTTTCAAAAAAATAGCAGGCGAATGTCCATGTTTTTGGCCATATTTACTGTTTAAATGTTCACTTCTATTGGTAGTTATCTTCAAAACATTATTTCTCTCCATACAACCATGTTCCAAATAACATAAAGCTTCCAAAACATTGAAATATTGATAAAAACAGTCAATATATATGACCAAAAGCACTCCCATGCTTTACAGGCCACAGTTTGAGAACAGAACATCCTACAGGCCCTACGAATCCGAACATATCCTGGACCTACGGGTCGCCAGCAGAGGCCGATATAGATCACTTCCGCCATATCAAAGGCTGCGTCCGAAAAGTCTTTTTTGCTTAAGAAGGTTCCTAACTGAGTGAAGTGAACCGGAAGTTTTTCAGTGGCAGCCATGATAAGAGCTGGTCGAATTCTCTAAAAGCTAAAGAAAGGTGCCTCAATGCTTCCTTTCATCATACCTTTAGCATAGGGTACACCAGACCATCCTTTACGAAAGGAAAGGAGAGAATGCCGTCCCACAATTCCTTGCTGCGGCAACATTTAAAGTGGCACACGTTCTCAAACTCAAAGGATAAAATCCATCAACCATATTTAGCAAGATCCCTGCAATACACACGCACATTATGATACTTTAATAAGACTCACAATTACCTTCTTTCTTTTGGTTTGTTTTCTTTTGGCTTTTTTGTAATCTGATACTGTTTCAACAATGTTTTATGTTTCGTGTTGAAATAAGCCATTAAGTGTTTTCTACAATAAAAAAATAATAAATCACCGACCATGACGGATAAAGGAGGTTGATCACAAACGTAAGTTACCATTGGCTATTAAGCCTTTTCTCTCTTATGCCATAACTTGCTAATATGCATATATCTTAAACTGTCAACAATAACTGAGACCCATGCGAGCTGTTACTAGTCTTATGTTATGTTATGTGATAATGTTGCAGCGTGTAGCCTCACGTTATGTACTGCAGCCTTCAGCAAATTAATTTTACTTTAGTCACAGATGCTGACACCCTCGCCTTCATAGTAAATCTAAAGGCTAAGATCAAGCTGGATAACCTCTACAGTAGGTGTTTCCCACACACTGATTTATTTGTGGTGTCCTGCCACATCGCTTAAAAGAGCAGTCGGATTCTCTGAGCCCCGCGGTCCTCCTTTCCTAAGTCCTTATGGATTCTCTTTTGCATCTTTCCTTGACCTCATGACGTTTTCCATCAAGGTCAAGGAAAGGAGGTTAGGAAAGGAGATTTTTTTGACTTTTCGCACCGCAGCCAAACTCTTCTTCTCCACTTCAATCTGACGACAGAAACGAAACTTAACACCAAAGCTGATCTAAACAAGATGGCGGCCGGCCAGACGGTCTCTGTTGACACAAAGCGCCGCTGTTTTTGGACGGAAAACGGCTAGAACAGCGAAAATTGATTACGCCCTCCATACCGGGTCAGTCCGTTCCAATGTGGTTAAGCCAAAAAGCCGAACCGAATCACAGGAACTGGCTGCAAAAAAATGGCAACAGGTGCTCTGGACTGATGAGTCAAAATTTGAAATACTTGGCTGCAGCAGAAGGTAGTTTGTTTGCTGAAGGGCTGTGGAGCAGTAATGATCCCAACATTATCCTGTCCTATCCTGTTTGGGATTACATGAAGAGAGAGAAGCAACTGAGGCTGTCTAAATCCACAGAAGGACTATAGGGAGTTGTCCAAGATGTTTGTGCCAACCTACCTGTTGAGTTCCTTCAAAAACTATGTGCAAATGTACCTTGAAGAACTGATGCTGTTTTGAAGGCAAAGGGTGGCCACAAATATTAATTTGATTTTAGATATGATATATTTTAGATATTTTTGAAAATATTCTTGGTTTACAGCATTTTTTTTCCACACCTAAAACTTTTGCACAGTGCTGTATGTCACTGTGTAAATGCTTATATCAATGTATTTGTATGTATTGTATCTCCAGCCAAGACAGTGTGGTGGAGATAGCCTTCATCCCAGGGAAAGGACTTTTTCCAAGCAGCGCATCTCTCCACAATGGGGTACAGCGAGCTACTGGCATCAACTCCAACTCTGGACGCTTAAAAGTCCACATCAGATCACCTGAGGTCAGCTATGCTTTTGTTACAGAGATCAAAAACACAATATGCCAACGTATGGTTCGTTCTATAATTATTTAGTTTCAAAACCAAATAGGAAAAAAACAAAAGAACAAGTCGTTTTTTGTTTTTTCTGTTTTAAAAATGGAAAAAACGGAAAACCAAATAACAGACATCTGTTTTGTTTTTCTGTTTTAAACCCATAATGGAAAACAAAGGAGCTGCGTTTTGTTTTATCTTTGACCGGTGTTGTATCCCTACAACCTGTTGTCACTCCCCACTCGTCACATATGGTCAATGCCTAACAGCGCTTGTAACGCACTGGGGATCCCTATAGCATCATAGGTCAACGCCGTGGGGGAAGCCCTGTAGCTCAGTTTGTCACAGTAAAGGCAGGTATATGATATTTAACAGAAAAGACTGTGATAGAAAATGGTTGGGGTGAAAGGAGGGCCAGAACCTTTGAATCAGGAGACTTGTGTTCGTGTAGCTATCTTGTGAAACAAAAAGTCAATATTAAGCTAAATATTTTTATATTTAATTTTACATAAGGCTATTTCTTTTCAGGTCACATCACATCTTATCAGCTGTGGCGAATATGATTGTAGAAGTGAGCACTATATTACAGAGCCTCGAACACTCAAAATTCTACGTCAGCATAAAGGAAGCATTTTGTTTTGGTCTGATCTGAAGCAGCTGGTTACCTGAGCGATCTAAGAAAATACCCGAATATGTTTATCAAGGGTTGTTTTCTCGAGGCTACGGCCAGGGTGCGACCTCCTCTCCCTCGCGCTGTTTGCTCCAGCCCCCCGCTCCCCTCCGTTCACCCTACTTTGGGTTGTGTTGCCAGTGTAACCAGCGCACTAGACGGTCAGTGGCTGTTCCCACTAATTTTATGCATAATCCATGCATTACTGCAGCTGGAGGCCCTTCGCAGCACCGCGCAACTTACTAAATTCTTCCATCTCACAAAGAAAATAAAGGTCGGATCAAAACAGTGTAGCCAAGAGAGGCTGAACGAAAATTACCCAACATTTTAATCCGTCCGTGATTCATGAATTTACAGCTCACCAAATTAACTAATAGGCTAACAGTTTATGTTTGCTGTGTACCATTGGATGTACTGACAACTAGGCTATCACTGAATTAATTTGAGAAATCTTAAAAAACGGAGGTTTCTCCAGAAAGCGTTCCTGTTCCAGTTGCTAGTGAGTTACAAACTGAACGTCCAATATTACATAGCTGCAGTCTCCGGTACTGCAGCTATTGTCTAAAAACCCACATATGTTGATGTTGAAGCTCATCTTAATGACACTAAATCAGGCACCATCATCGCTCAAGTGTATCTGCTGCAGGTTTATCAAGTGTAACACAAATCTACACAAATCGGACTCATTAAATATCAAAATAAATATTTTTTTAAAACAGAAAAACAAAAAACGATGTCTGTTTTTGTTTTCTGTTTGTTTTTCCGTTTTGGTTTTAAAACAGAAAAAACAGAAAACAAACTGGATTATTCCATTTTCATAAAAATTTTACTCAAATGGAAAATGATGATATTGTAAAATTACTTTTTTTTTTCTATATCCCAAATACACTTCCATATTTGGGGAATTTAAAGATATTTAAGCTAATACACTGTACTTTGGACTTGATTTTAATGTGCTATGTTCTTGGTATTTATGGAACCTGAAAAGTGTCATTGAAGTAATTAAAGACACTTACAGTTTAACTTTATAATGATTAATATTAAGAATTGATCAACTTGTGTGTGTAAATGTATAATAAACTGATAAATGCATTTTGCATTAAATGCATTATGAAACATCTTTTGATTTTGCAATTCCTGATGAAATTTAAAGTAATTAAAATTTTAAAGGTTATTAAATTTAATAATTTGTATATTAGAGGTAATTTCTTTTATTTTACTGAAAGATTATTAACAAATCATTTAAATGCAAATTGAACTGATCTATATCTATCTATATGTTTGTTATGTTATGAATTGATTTGGAATTTACAATGTAAAAGTCTGAATTATACTGGTGGCACACAACAGCCTCCACAGTAAACTCCACAATGTATGTGCAGTTGTTGATGAATGACTTTGTAATTTCCTGTAGAATAGCAGGTTACTGGCATGTCAAAGTTCAATCCTACAAATCAGATCTGTCCTACCAAAGCAGTTTAAAACCTTGAATTTTCTTCGGTGCAGATGTGTACAGAGGAGCCAGCCCCCGTGTCCTCACCTTCTCCTGACATCTGCCCGCCAGATATTCATATTTCAGGTAAAATACCTCACTATACACTCTTATTTTTCTTGCATTTTTTCCTCATCTCCCTCTGTCTGTCTATCTATAATTAGATTTGTTCCTCTCCTCTGCTGCTGAGACCTATGTAGGGGCTGGCTTCATACAATGTTTTTCTTACTGTGAATCCCATTAGAAGACTAAACCAACATCCTACTAACAAACTGTGTGTGTGTGTGTGTGTATCAAAGCCTGGTATATCTTATTCCTCTGTGCCAGAGGCGCTCCATTGTTGTCCAAAAACAATTACAAACAGTGAGCCAAAGTATTGGACTAGTTGACATATTCCTACATTACCATGAACAACAACTGTAGTTTTTTTTACTCACTCCCTCATACACCATCCTGCTGCTGGAAATACTCACTAGAGCACCAAATGTGGATTAATCCACAACTGAAAATAATCCCCAACAAATGTACTATTTCCTCCTGTTTGAGTAACATTTGATAAATGTTACAGTGGCCAGCTGTTTTAGGAAATTACTGAGCATTTTTTAAAATTGAAACAATATATTTGTGAGCTGTTTTTAAATGTTCATATCATCAGTAGGAACCAATAGGCTTGGGTCGGAGAGATGCATCCACAGGGTAGGATAAGTCAGAAAATATATTGTTGGTTTTGATCTTTAATGAGATTTGATGACAGTAACGGAATGCCAGCCTTATGCTCTTAGAAAACACACAGTGATACATTTTTGTATACTTACTTTATATATGTTTTGGATGTTTGTCCTGTGATGATCACTGCTCTTGGTTATGATCCTAACCCCCATCTCATTACCTTCAACATCCTTGTCAACCCTTTTCCATCTTAAAAAGAACACACATGAAAACAAGAGATTTTGCCTAAAGACTGAAAACAATATAAAAGAAAAAGGGCTTGATGATAAAATTGAAAGACCAGCAGCTTCAATGTAAAGGGTCATTTGTTGGTCCCAGCTCAAAGCCATCAGACTGTCTGTCCCAATCCTATTGGCCTGGATTACCCCAGTCAAGGTCCTAGGTGCTGTGACCACTTAGCTCCCCTCCAGGCTCTTATTGGTTAAGCCAGTTGCTAGCCATGACAGATGTCAGTAGTTTGTGGTGAGGTGAGCAAGTACAAATACTGGTTGGATATTTTTTACAAAGACGGGACTTTGACTCTTGACAATAAATAATTTCAATATGGTTTCAGAAGTATGGGAAGCAAGTGTGAAGCCTTGTTAATTAAATGTCAATTAAACTAAAGTTCCAGTGTCTGACCTGTCCAAAATTACAGCAGGAGGCCCGGTCTACAAAGATGTTTAATGATATAAACATGTCAGTATAACCCTATTTACTATTATCACCTGGAGTCCTACTATATTTTATAATAATTCAGAGTTTGTCTGTGCATGTATGTTATTTGTAAAACAAAAAACTTCTGTCACAAATAATCCACCATACTTCAGCAAACACCAAGGTTTCACAAGGAAGTCTTGTTTTTATCTGTGGTTGTTGTTTCTTTTGTGGGTGAACACTAATGGAAGGCAGGGAGACCCACACCGAGAAGCAGCTCCAATCAGACATTACAAGACGGTATTTTTGAGTCAGACAAACATATTTATCCTGTGGAAAGTCACTGCAGGAAACTCAACTGTGGGGGGTAAGATCATAAATGAATATATCTAACTAAAATGTTTGCACAAAATCTATGTAATCTACTATCAACAATCATGTAACATTAAGACTGAGAAAAAAATAACTGCTTTTGTGATCACATAAAAAAAAGTCATACCATTTGATATTGATAGTTAATAGGATAAATGTCAAATCATTATTTATTTCAAGTTTAAAGGCTGATTGTTGCTCCTGAGTGAAAGTTGAAGAAACCAGATGGTTAATTGTCACTTTAAACTTTTCTTTATGGTCAGAACAAACACTTGATGCCAAACAGTGGATCACTTCACAAATCTGAGGTAAAACATTCAAAACAATTATGATAAAATCTTATTCAGCAAATATGCATGAGGAAAATCTTTTTTTAGTCCCTTTTCCTCATCAAAATAAATATCTTAATAGAAAAAATAAGTTCTGATTCATTCATAATTCAAATTAATTAAATCAAACATTTATTGAACATTTGTTATATTATTAAAATTATATCCCAATAATTATCATTATTGTTTTATTGCCCACCCCTAGTTTACATAACCACTTCTTTTTTTCGGTCTCTGTGTAACCTCACAGTTGATATAATGTGTACACTACTTTCATTTTGACATTCTTTACAGCCACAAATTTTAATGTACATGATATATGTATGTATAAACTTGGATTGATCATGCAGATCATCCTATTTGAGTGGAAAAGTGTATTTTATGACGTGGAGTGGTATCTGAGTGTGACCAGAGTTTAAAGCACGGCTGTTGTAACAACAGCAGGTCTGTCAATCATCACCACTGGGCGGTGCGGTGAAAATCCTTTGGGTGAGACGAGGTAGAGGGTAGTCATGAAATCAGTTCATACCCCTAGCAACAGGGTGTGTGTAGTCACACACACTCAGAGGAATGGTTCCCATTGCCACAGCAAGCAGACACAAATCTGGGACAGACAAACTCATCAAATTAATATTAGGCATTGGCTGTCTGCCCTCCCCTCTCTCACTGTTTTTCCTCACTCTTATTTATATAATCATCCACCTTTCCTCCACTCCTCTCTTTTTAATCATCTGCTTTTCATCCCCTACCCAAACATTCTCACACACACCTCTCGTACCACCACAACCACCCACTTCCAACAAATCCACAGAGAATATCTGCCCATCCACTCTGATATTACAGATTATCCCCTGATATTCTTCTCCTGTTGTTTACTATGTGTACTGTGGCCTCACATACTCTCTCATTCTGTTTAAAGGGCATTGGCCCCTGGTTCAATGTCATACAGATATGGTGTTTTCTACATATATCTTTTCTACATGGGAATGTTTTTCATACAACTCATGGTCAGTGCCCTTTGTCTTTGACAGATGTCAGCTTCCTCCTCTTTCCTCCGCCCTCATTTTCCTTTTCTCCTTTCTCTAGATTCAGCCAGCCAGATGTTACCAACAGGGGCCAAACCTAAGATTACACTGGACCCCTACATACGCCTCAAATCAGACAAGTTAGACTTGGTGAGTACAGTCTTCTGGTCAGAGATGTTATTTTAGAGCGATGCTACTAAACATATTGAAATATTTACAAACATATACATGTTTGGAGTGGTTTATTTAAGCTGTGGTGCATTTACGCCTTGCTTTAGTTAATTTAGAGCATGAATCCTTCTCTGCTTGTCTACCTCTTTCTGTTTCTCCTTGTGCTTCTCTCAACCTTACCATTGATGCGCCCCATCTGTCATACTGGTCAACTCACCAAAGTGTGTGTGTGTGTGTGTGTGTGTGTGAAAGAATATTCCACCTGCTCTGATCAGCTTCAACTAGTGCATAACTGGCTGTCCCAGACAAATGTATTTCCTTTTATCCGGAGACAAGTCAGCAGGTATTGTACTGATGAGAAAATTATTATAAACGTACTGTTTAGTGGTTACAGCATAATATGATAAATGAAAAAATGAGATGCATGTGATAAAAAACACAGATTATGATACTAGTAACCAAAAGGGCTTAAAAGGCTTACACCACACCACTGGATAAATAATCCACTTACTGAAATGAGAAACTAAGTAACTAAATTTTATTTTACTGTCTGATGGACCTCAGCCACTTGAGGTAAATATTAGTTTGTCTAGAGGCTGATGGAGCCCAGTGGTCCATGAGGTTTATGATGGCTGCTTTACCACGGGCTTTGCACATACCCCGTACTACACCTCTGTTATGAGGCCTTGCTACTGGCCCATTGTGGATTTTTCCTGTTTGTTTAGTGTTTAGTGCCAAGGAGCTACGATACAAAATAGATAAAAATGTAAATACAACACTTATCCAGTAATCTAATAAATCATATTGATTATTGTTACGACTCTGGCTCTCAGGCCGCAACAAAGAAGGAGGATGCAACTCGAGGTTAAACAAAGAGTAGCATAAATTTATTTAAAATAATGCAAAACAAAAGAACAGTGTGACAGAGCGGTGTGGAAGGTGTCTGGGCAGGCAGGCCTAAATAGGTTGGGCTCACTGGCCATGTGCTCCAAATCTCCTTAATTGCCTGCAGGGAGAAACACACAGACAGCACACAGTACTGAGGCCCAACACCAAGACCTCTCGGGGCCGTCACAATTATATCTCCATGGTGATAAAATAAAGTCTGTTAAAGAAATGAAAGTAATAGGTGGAGGGGTGTCTGACTGTGGAGGCCATAGCATATGATGTGATTCTGCACTCAGGTTTTTAAATGATCTCAATGAAGCAAATTTACGCTTATGATTCTTCTCATTCTGATTAACTCACTTGCAACTTTTTCACCGTTGTAGCACTTTTTCATAACCACCCCCAAGCTCTCTCTTCATCTAATTATTGATCTTTCTCTAGCAGCCTCTCTCTGCTTGCTCTATCACACTTGCACTTCATTTGTACAGTATTTTTACCCTATCAGCACATTCTCTTACTGCTCCCCCTCCCCCCTGCCCTCCAGCTTCCCATCTCTCTGCTGATGGTCTCTGTTTTCCTCTGCCTCGTTCTCTGGCTTTCTGCCTCTGTCCTCTGTATAGCTTTATTCAGTTTTGATTTTAATTTTGGCCAGATCCTGCTCAGCAGTAGGTTGACCCTAATCTACCAATTCATTAATGGGATTAGAGGGAGACAGAGAGAGTTTAAATGTTGAACACAGGCACAATTCTCTCTTGATCTGTTGGCTCCTTTGCAAGAGAGAGAGTGAGATGGATTAGGGATATTTTTAGATTTGAGAGCTACTATAGTAGGTAAGTGTAAGTGTAACAAAGGACAGAAAGCCAATGAAAGAAGAATCGAAGGAGAAACAAACCATGTTAAAGGTTGAACAGAGTACACTACCTGTTGTGGTTTCTGCATATTACTGTATAATGACCTTGTTTAAGGTTCAGACAACAGATGGCTATGACAGGGATTGACTCTTGTGCCAAGCGTAGTGCATAAAGGTCAGCCTTTCTACAAAATGTTCTCACTGGATCGAAAATATAAATGCACACCGTAGCACATACCAGGAATCAAGGTTGGGTTCGAGTCCCTTTGGTGTATGTCATCCCCTCTGGAATGAAAGTATGAATGTTAGTCTGACACACCTACTTCCTGACCCTGTCCTGAGAACATGTCCTCAGGATTGCTGGAAGGAAATTGGAGGTTTCATGAGAAATTATTTACATTCTACAATTACACACAAATGACTCATGATGAGACTTTTAAGGCTGATTAATTTACTCTTATTAGTATTTAGAATCAATATTCTTTTGACTCTATTGAGTATTTATTCATCAGTTCTCTTCCTGGCAGTGTAGAGATGGCTTTAAATCACATGAGACCCTGGGTATAGAGATACATTTACAGTTATATAAATATAAAAAATATATAGAAGATGAACATGTATGTATTAAAGTTAAAGTTTGTTTTTGAAATAGTCTCACCGCATGTACATTTGGTGGAGCTCTATGGAACAGAGGAATACTATACATACAGAATACTTGTTAGTAGGAGACATTCATTGTGGTTGACTGTATGAAAATATAGAATATCGGTAGACTTATCCTTTAAACTTAGCCACATGCAAAGATGTTGTGTAATGAAATCAACAGGACGTTTTTCTGAATTAAAGAGAAATACACTCAGTTGCCAGTTAATTAGATACACCCAGCTAAAACTATCTGACACAACAGTCCTGCAGTAATTCCTCCCTAATGTTCCATTTTTGTGTATGCTGTTTTAGAGAGGCGTTGTTCAAAAGATAACCTCTGCAGACTGCATATTCTGCAGAGGGCTGCAGTTAGATAGAACTGATGAGTACATAGTTTGATGTTGCAATGGCACCATAATAAAAAGTCTTCCCTGTGTCTTCTATGCATCTGTTTTTCTTTCCTTCTCTGTCTCTCAGGCTTTGTCCTTCCTTGGGTTGGATGTCACAGAAGAGAAGAGGAAGAAGTTAAGACAGAGTCTGACCCCAGACCCACAAGGCACTGTGGCCTATGGAGGTGAAGCACACCTACAGAAACACACACAAACACACACAATTCCAGTTGTGTCAACAGCAAGGTGAAATATCTGTGTTGAAATCCTGTCAGATCACAGGCTGGGGCTGATGGCTGCACGTCAGTTTCTGGTTGTGTCACTTGTATGTTTGTTGCATAACCATGAGGCAGCTCTGTGTCCGTTCATAGCCAGGCAGACAGTCACAGCGCAGCATTTCTATGACTAGGTTAATAAATGTTTTGATGTTAAAACATTTTATTTTATCATAAATTATAATAATTACTGGTCTAATTATATCTACTAATTAATTTCTATTATATGTATATATAATAAAGTAGTTTAATAAATGGTACATTATTATAAAGACTTATAGATATAAGAAACTTCATTTAGAATTGCGGTACTTCTAGGACAGCAATCAGTAATTTAGTTTGAGCTCTAATTTCTTCCATACTTACAGGTGTACTATGTGAAACATTTGAAGTTGCACAAAACATCAAATGACAAAAAAAAAGTTTATTCTAACTTTTCTCTAAGAACTCCATACACCAGAACTTTAGTTTGTTTCAATTAGATGTAAAGAAAAAATGGGAACAACAAAGTCCTGTGGTGTAGGTTTCTATGGCAACAAACAGGGCACATGGTGTAAATCAGTCTCAGAGCTGTAGGTACAATTTGAACTCCACAGATGAATTTATTCATTGCGTGACTTAAACTGAACTTTTACTGAACGTAAGCCATTACTTAAACAGTCGCACCTCTCCTCCAGTCACTTCCTGTAAAGGTAACCTGATATCCCCTAGAATACACCCATTACCAGGTCAGGGAGCTCTGACCTCTTATTCCTCTGATGGCTCTCTTACTCTGGTTTCCTCCACCGTGTAGTCTGCTCGAGGCAGACGCACCAAACTCCTTTCTTACCGTGCAGGCCTGTTACGGAAACTGACTGGCTACAAAATTCGCACTCATTCATCGTCTATAGGAAGTTTAAGTTTCAAGTTAATAAACATATAGGAGCAAGAGCCAGTGACAACAAATTCACAGGTTTTTGTTTTCTCATGTTTAAATGTAAAACATTTGAAATGATTTCAGATAACCTCATAATTAAACTCACACAAGTGCCCAGAAACTTAAAGTAGATGAGAAGCAAACTTAGATATTTTAATATCAATTATCGCATAAATTAACATTTATACTTTTATTAATTTGTGTCTGTACAGTATGAAGCCCTTATCCTTTTTAGATGTATCATTTAGGGTTCGGGTGGCCATGGTAACCCTGGCCTTTCTGTCATCAATAGTAAACGTTTTCTATCTGTGCATGTCTGTCCACTCAGACTTCGTGGAGGCCACCCGGAACACCTTCCAGGAGAACCTGGAGGAGTTGGGTTTAGGGGCGGGTCCCTTCATGTTTTCCTATCACGAAGCAGCGAGTTTGATGGACACATCGGCCTTCCACTCCCCTGTAAGCGGTCCTCACAGCTTCTCACATGCAAGCACTCATTCACAGATTAAACAGAAAAAATAACTAGTGTGTGTGTGTGTGTGTGTGTGTGTGTGTGTAGACATATGAGTCAGAATGCAGCTACAGCAGTGAGGAGATGGAGCAGTTTCAGACAGAGGTGAAGCAGCTGCAAACCCAGATGAAACAGCTCAAGGTGAACACTCACACAGAAGAGCTAGTGGATGGAGAAAGCTTATGTGAAAACAACCACTATTATATCAAGCAATTGTCAAATATTATCTTGAGTCATCTTAGCATTTAACTGAGAAACTGACAAAAGTGTGAACAATATTTTTATTTCAGTGCCTTTTGCAATTGCTTATTTTACAGCATGTTGCTTTTGCTCGCACTCCTATTTTTCCAACTTTTTAGCTTTCTTTCTTGACCACAGACCAATTTTTGAGGAACAGTAGCAGTCATCGCTAGTCTCAGTGACAAATTCATTGCATTTCCTGTGGCTGCTTCATAATAAAAGCCAGCTCCATGGATCAGCAGTCGAATGCTTGTAATTGTGAAACGGCAGCAGTGTAACACACATACAGCTATGACACAGCTGTGGGAGAGCACACTTTGTACTTTAACGAACTCCTCCTACGGAATTAATCCAATCGACTTCACATTTTCGCTGTGCAGTCTAAACCTACTGATAATTAAAAGTTGTACAAACTGTGAGTTTTCGTCCACGAGCATGCCCATGCCGTGGCATGCTATGTAGCGCCACAAAGGGGACACCTTGATTAACACCTTCATGCAGCGTCCAAAGCGCGTGGCAAATTCACAGCCACACCGGCAGAGCTCCAGAATCTGTAACGAAGCCCCCTTACATCTTGACTCGCTGCATGTGCGAGGGCCCGCCCAACGCTGCTTGCAGCTTTAATTCTACACTGTAATGCACCTAAATCATCTTATCAGTGTGACAATGTAGATACAAAATTTACCCTATTAAATAACAATTTTTTTATTTTTATAAATGAAGTGGTTTCTGAACATAGCAGACTTTTGCATATTTACAGAATGCAAATACATGGTTGTATAAAATGAAATTAGTAAGGAATAGATCTTCAAACCGTCAGAGTCAAAGATGCCACGTACTTCAGACCCTGGGAGAAAAGCCGCACTAAGCCACAAACCAAAGCTCAGTTGGGAAACAACGGACACATGTCTGTAGTAACCAAATGAAGTATAGTGGGTGAGGGCAGAAGGAAGTGTTTTCTCTGTTAGATGTGGTTTCACCCAGCCACAGAAGACTCAGACCCACTGACCTGATGATCACAGCTGTAAAAACCTCCTGGGCTTCATCTGCTGCCTCTCTTGGCAGGTGATGCTGAAGGACATGGAGCACAGCAAGAAAACCCTGGAGGAGGAGCTGCAGAAGACCTCAGAGGTGAGAGATGAGTCGAAGCAGTGTATGGAGACAAATGTGAAAGTCCACCACTTGAATATATTTACCTTGGAACATTCTGCTGTCCTTCCCAGAAAGCATGTTTGACTGTGGAGGAGAACACCCGTCTGAAGAGTCGTCTGCAGGCGGCCGAGTCAGGGCAGCGGCAGGCTAGCGGTGCAGAGCAAGACTACGAGGAGGTCATCCAGCTGCTGGAGGCTGAGATCAGAGACTTGAAGAACCAGCTGGCCAGCAAGAGGCAAGCACGAGGAGTGGAGGCCACCAAGGTGAGTCTCAAGCAGGTGTTTAACTATTTCTATTTTTATGTCTTTTGCTATTTCTTCTTTACTACATAGAGACTACTCCATACAGATCTGAGTACTCCTCTGCTGGACACAAGTTATTTCAAAACCATTTCCATCTGGTGTTACTCTGCGATCTGTATTTTGACATCTGATTACAGGCCTTTGCATTTACACCTCATACCAGGAAACATCCTCGTTATCTTCATTCTGCTTGCATTTTCAGTAAATCTCAATATGCAAATGAAGTAGGTGGGTGCATCCTAGTCAAAGGAAGTGACACTGCTGTGTGGACTTGTCTTCTACCATAGCTAGGGCTTGTCTGTAGCTTTTGGACATGGCAGCTTGAGATAACAGGAAGAGACCACGTTAGGTGACCTTTTTATTCTTCCACGCTGTAAGGATGGCATTTAGCTTGTGAAAAAGTGATCCACATGTTCGCCAGTCTCATTTGAAATGCTGTTTCACGTGTGATAAGATTCTCATGTGCTTTGATCCACTTGGCTGAGGTCTGTTCACAGTGTGACACAGACCATCTCCACATGGGTTCTCTCTCTTGCAGTGTTCTCTGTGTGCATTTTTCACCTGCACCATCGTGTGTTTTTCTTCATCCACAGCAGATATCCAGATGCAGATATCATATTATTACCAGGTGGAAATTGACTTTTACTCAGAGGTCTAAAGGAAGGTGCAAAGTTAAGCTGGATGTACCCTTTATGCATGGTTACAATAGTCCTGTAGATACCTGCCGCAGGGATGGGCAGTATTTATAATACATTTATCTCAAATACAAAATATTTGATAGGGTTGATGAAATGACTTCATATGTTGTAAAACAATACTTCAGTGTTTTGTATTTTGTAGTTTAAAAATACTGTAAAGTACGTTGTGAGAAGTCTACGTGATGAATGCTGCCTCTGATTGGTGCCTACTCAGTAATTTGGCTAAACTTCACTCACTTCAAGGTGAGAAACGTGCAGGTTTCCAGCTTTCCATCCGTTTTTAGCATAAATTGCTACAATTCTTCAGTGTGTAATATTTCTGAGGATCTATCGACAGAAATGCAATATAAGATCCATAACTATGTTTTTAGTGGTGTATAAAGACCTTACATAATAAACAATTATGTTTTTATTGTCTTAGAATGAGCCATTTATATTTACATAACTTGCAACATGTTAGTTCAGTTGGTAAGGTGCAGGACTCATAACCCAAGGGTTGAATGTTCAGTCCCACCTCAAGATAACTTTTTCCTGTCTTCAACAAATGGATTCTGCAGCGAATGTTTCTCAGGTCATGGCATGTGCTGCAGTGTTTTTGTTTCGGTGTTTGTTCAACATCCACCAACCTACGGACACCTTTTCATTTCCCCAGTATCTCCAGGCAGAGGACATTCAGGGGATTCACGTTTTCTGACGGCTCTTTCAGAGGTGTGTCAAGCAGGCTACAGACTCTTTTTAGTGTAGTTCAGTTTTTTTTCAGTTTTTGTATTTGAAGTTTAACTTCAAATACAGACTTGCAGTAAACAAGCTTCTTGCACTTTTATTTTGTAGGCAAAACCACCAAAGAGGAAGTTATTATGTGAGTAACTGTAGCTGCCATGACTGAGATCTATAAGTATTTATGTATTTATTTATTTATATTTTTGCTGCTATCAAAGCACCATAATCTGGCAGCAGGACAGATATTATTGCTGGCGGGCAGTTTTGACATGGATCCATAATCATAGAGAGAATTTGCACATAATCATAGAGAGAATTAATGTATTCTCAGCTCTTGTGCTGTGTCTGCCACCGTAGATGTCCCTACGCTCTTTGAAAGGTTAGGGGGCAGTGGTAGACTGGACAGATTGTTGCAATTCACAACCCTCGCCACTAGATGCCACTAAATCGTACACACTGATCCTTTAACACTCCCTCTTAAGTTTCGGTGTTCATTTTAGTAGCCATGGCTAAATCATTTACCATTTTATCTAATGTTCAGCCCTCACAGTTCAAGTTAGCTTGCTACTTTCAGCCTACTTTAACTTTCATTGGTTGTGCATGAAAAACAATTAAGTGTTTCAATATTACATTTATTCATTTAGCTGACGCTTTTATCCAAAGCGACTTACAATTGCTATACATGTCAGAGGTCCCACGCCTCTGGAGCAACTAGGGGTTAAGTGTCTTGCTCAGGGACACAATGGTGGATGGGTCACAGTGGGGATTGAACCCGGGTCTCTCACACCAAAGGCAGGCATCTGATCCATTGCGTCATCGCCACCCCATGATATATACACAATATAATGCCGTCAACCCATCCACCACTCGGGTTTGTTGTAGTTCACAACTTCTCCTCAAGTCTAAGTGCGGAATGGGTGCTGATTTGTGTTTCATGAGAATTTTTCCTAAGTAAGTCTGCTAATAAACAAGACTGTGTGGCAGAGATGGGGACTGGAGTTAGAGACTCGGACTGAGCACGACTTAAGTCGCACACACAGTGACTTGAGACTCGTCCTCAAAAAACTTCAGACTCGACTCACGCTCGTGGTGCGGGACTCGTGTACAATGTTTATTTTTTAGGAAACTTCTGATGAGGGTGCTGTTATTCCCTCCCTCCATTACCTATAACCTGCCTACGTAACACCTAGCATCTGCTGTGCGCGGTCGCAAGTGAGAGAGGACAACAGCTGCTGTGCCATTCATCATAAACTTTAGCTTTATACAACAAGGCCCTAACAAAGAAACGCTGAACGCAAATAGGTTAGTAACCTGTGGTGAGTAAACACCACCAGCTCAGCATTGGCTATCTAATGTTAGTGTTGTGTCGTTCAAAGAACGTTTCGTTCATAAGACCTAATCGTGTGTATGACTCGGGAGGAACGGGTTGTCTCAGTGAGTGATTCGTTCATTTTCACGCATGCGTGAAGGATCTTGGACTCTTACGTTCACTCGTCACAGGTCAGCTGCCTGACTTGTTCACCGCTCACATGGGTCCTCCTCAGTCTTTCGTTCATTCTGCAGGCTGAGTTACTGCCAGCGTCAGAGAATGAGAGGCAGGTCGGCTGTCAGGTAACAGTCACTGGACTGACATTATATAGCTATTTTGTTAATTATGTTACATTTAATAAAGCATAACATTATTACAGTGCAGTGATGTTGTGCTAAGTTATAGTTTTAACACAGCCTAGTAACTTTAGTCCTGCTATTGTTTACAGCCAACAGCTGATGAGAGTTGTTCTGGGTCCGCTCCACTTCAGTACCCTGACAGGATTCTACCGGGGGCTGAATTACCTCAGAGGTCGTCTCCTCTCCAAAACAAAGAGACCCGGTCATTAAAACATTAAAACACAGCCACGTAGCAACGTTAGCGTTGGCACTGTGGTGTGTTTACAGCTAACAGCTGATCCAAGTCCGCCAGAGAACGCAACGTAACTTTTCCTTTTTATTTACCAACAGAGCCGTGCTGTTGTTTCACAGCTCCTGATTGGTGAACAACCTGCTGTGTTTGTGAGCGATGTGCTCATGTTCTTTTCTCTGTCAACAGAATCCGGACCTGATGTGGCCCATTCTGCGTCCAGACCTGCCAAACTGCTGCGTTTACAGTGCCTTGCAAAAGTATTCGGCCCCCTTGAACTTTTCGACCTTTTGTCACATTTCAGGCTTCAAACATAAAGATATAAAACTGTAATTTTTTGTGAAGAACCAACAACAAGTGGGACACAATCATGAAGTGGAACGAAATTTATTGGATATTTCAAACTTTTTTAACAAATAAAAAAACTGAAAAATTGGGCGTGCAAAATTATTCAGCCCCCTTAAGTTAATACTTTGTAGCGCCACCTTTTGCTGCGATTACAGCTGTAAGTCGCTTGGCGTACGTCTCTATCAGTTTTGCACATCGAGAGACTGAAATTTTTGCCCATTCCTCCTTGCAAAACAGCTCGAGCTCAGTGAGGTTGGATGGAGAGCGTTTGTGAACAGCAGTTTTCAGTTCTTTCCACAGATTCTCGATTGGATTCAGGTCTGGACTTTGACTTGGCCATTCTAACACCTGTAGATGTTTATTTGTGAACCATTCCAGTGTAGATTTTGCTTTATGTTTTGGATCATTGTCTTGTTGGAAGACAAATCTCCGTCCCAGTCAGGTCTTTTGCAGACTCCATCAGGTTTTCTTCCAGAATGGTCCTGTATTTGGCTCCATCCATCTTCCCATCAATTTTAACCATCTTCCCTGTCCCTGCTGAAGAAAAGCAGGCCCAAACCATGATGCTGCCACCACCATGTTTGACAGTGGGGATGGTGTGTTCAGGGTGATGAGCTGTGTTGCCTTTACGCCAAACATAACGTTTTGCATTGTTGCCAAAAAGTTTGATTTTGGTTTCATCTGACCAGAGCACCTTCTTCCACATGTTTGGTGTGTCTCCCAGGTGGCTTGTGGCAAACTTTAAATGAGACTTTTTATGGATATCTTTTAAGAAATGGCTTTCTTCTTGCCACTCTTCCATAAAGGCCAGATTTGTGCAGTATACGACTGATTGTTGTCCTATGGACAGAGTCTCCCACCTCAGCTGTAGATCTCTGCAGTTCATCCAGAGTGATCATGGGCCTCTTGGCTGCATCTCCGATCAGTCTTCTCCTTGTATGAGCTGAAAGTTTAGGGTTTTTAGGGTCTTCGTAGATTTGCAGTGGTCTGATACTCCTTCCATTTCAATATTATCGCTTGCACAGTGCTCCTTGGGATGTTTAAAGCTTGGGAAATCTTTTTGTATCCAAATTCGGCTTTAAACTTCTCCACAACAGTATCTCGGACCTGCCTGGTGTGTTCCTTGTTCTTCATGATGCTCTCTGCGCTTTAAACGGACCTCTGAGACTATCACAGAGCAGGTGCATTTATACGGAGACTTGATTTCACACAGGTGGATTCTATTTATCATCATTAGTCATTTAGGTCAACATTGGATCATTCAGAGATCCTCACTGAACTTCTGGAGAGAGTTTGCTGCACTGAAAGTAAAGGGGCTGAATAATTTTGCACGCCCAATTTTTCAGTTTTTTATTTGTTAAAAAAGTTTGAAATATCCAATAAATTTCGTTCCACTTCATGATTGTGTCCCACTTGTTGTTGGTTCTTCACAAAAAATTACAGTTTTATATCTTTATGTTTGAAGCCTGCAATGTGGCAAAAGGTCGAAAAGTTCAAGGGTATATGTGTTAATATTTCTTTGTTACTCTCTCTGTGCTGGAGTTCTTTTAAGAACTTGGTGGCTTGATCCAGATTATTATTAAATTGGTTGAATTTTAATAAAAGTGTGTTTATTCATATAGTGTATCAAGCTCCCCGCAAATCTGATGTTAATATTTAGATTTTACACATGGATAGGGATGTTAGGCTACTATATGAATGAGCACTTTAGAGATATGATAGTAATTATATTCATAAGCCTTTATATGGCTGGTCTGGCACGGCACTGTTTTTTAATCACCCACTAGAAGGCTGCAGCGCCGCAATAACCAGCCTAGTTCAAATGAACGAAATGACTCTAAAAAAGATTAGTTCACTTTAATGAATGAGATTTGAATGAACGAGTCTGTCAAAAGAGTCGAACTTGCCATCACTATCTAATGTTAGCTTGCTTCTTACTTTATCTACAACCTAGTGCTTTCAGACCAAAAGCGAAGCGAGTGCTCGGGGCGTGATTTACATACAAAGTCAATGCAAAGACGCGTAGAGCCGCGATTTCCTGTCGTGCGGCGCGAAGCAACGCGAAAGGAGCGGTGCCGGCGACACAAAGGCAACGCGAAGGCTGACTTGCCAAACTTGTGGTGGTCTATTAACGTAATCATTACGTCCCGCTGGCTGCCATCACGTTAATTATTACCGATGGCTAGAAAGAGGTACTAGTTATTGTTTATGTAACCTGGTTTGAGAGTGGGGGATGTGTTGACTTACAGTAGTTTATAAGCTGTCGTTGATTGCATTGCAGGTTGTGCTCTGTAAGTTAAAAACAGGTTGCAGGTTTATTGTTGATTATGCAATGTCACAGTTTTATTTAGTTAATGTTACACTGGGTTTAAGTCTGGGGAGTGTGTTGACTTACAGTATTTAATAAGCTTTCAATAATTGCATTGCACATTACATGGTTGTGCTCTGTAAGTGAAAAACAGGTTACAGTTACAGAATTCGTTATAGCTATGCAGTGTTCTAAGAAACCTGGTGATACAACATTCGTAAATACCACGAGAGATTTGAGACTTGACTTGGACTCTTGCTCAGAGACTCGAGACTTGACTTGGACTCTAGCTCAGAGACTTGAGACTTGACTGTAGCTCAAAGACTTGAGACTTGACTGTAGCTCAAAGACTTGAGACTTGACTGTAGCTCAAAGACTTGAGACTTGACTGTAGCTCAGAGACTTGAGACTTGACTATAGCTCAGAGACTTGAGACTTGACTGTAGCTCAGAGACTTGAGACTTGACTGTAGCTCAGAGACTTGAGACTTGACTGTAGCTCAAAGACTTGAGACTTGACTGTAGCTCAGAGACTTGAGACTTGACTGTAGCTCAAAGACTTGAGACTTGACTGTAGCTCAGAGACTTGAGACTTGACTGTAGCTCAAAGACTTGAGACTTGACTGTAGCTCAGAGACTTGAGACTTGACTGTAGCTCAAAGACTTGAGACTTGACTGTAGCTCAAAGACTTGAGACTTGACTGTAGCTCAAAGACTTGAGACTTGACTGTAGCTCAAAGACTTGAGACTTGACTGTAGCTCAAAGACTTGAGACTTGACTGTAGCTCAGAGACTTGAGACTTGACTGTAGCTCAAAGACTTGAGACTTGACTGTAGCTCAAAGACTTGAGACTTGACTGTAGCTCAAAGACTTGAGACTTGACTGTAGCTCAGAGACTTGAGACTTGACTGTAGCTCAAAGACTTGAGACTTGACTGTAGCTCAGAGACTTGAGACTTGACTGTAGCTCAAAGACTTGAGACTTGACTGTAGCTCAGAGACTTGAGACTTGACTGTAGCTCAAAGACTTGAGACTTGACTGTAGCTCAGAGACTTGAGACTTGACTGTAGCTCAGAGACTTGTGAGCATCTCTGCTGTGTGGGCACTACATCTGAAAATGCACACCTCCAAGTCGTTCTCCCTCTTTTGCTAGTCAGAACGAGATTGGAGGCAGAGATGGGAGCATGGAGAGGCAGTAGCCTATGAGGAGAGACATGAGTGAGAGAAAGGCAGACAAAGAAGAGCAGAGGTAAGGGAGTCGCACTGGTGTCAGCTTGTAGTCTACGCTGCACTCCTGAAACACTCACAGCCGTTGGTAGCACAGTTTTCATGGTGCTGTCAACAATGAAAAAAATAACTGACTTGCAGCTACCTACCTGTCTTACATGCAGGTAAATTCCCTTAATGGTGCTGATTCATCAAAAGCTACTCAAAACAAGATACTACCCTGTCTAAATTAGTCTAAAATTATGAGTCATTGGCAAAGTGTTAGTTAAACATTAAACTGTTGGTGACTTTAAAACTAACCCTCAGCTGGGTGATCACATGGACATGTGAATACATGATCTGCTAACTGGTTGCCTGCCAGATTTATACATGACTCTTTGCTCTCAAACATTGCCCACTTAATCAGCTGAGTCAGTGTTCTGGTGAAGGGAGAGATCAAACGGGTACCTCGGAAAAGTATAGTAGTTCATTTTGATACCTTGCTGTATTTTGGAGTTTATTTTAATAGACTTAAAATTAGGATATTTGGTATCTTATGTAAAATAAATTTTGATGTATCTTTGCCCATCCCTGCCTAGATGTAGGTTTTGATTCATAGTTTAGTGTCCGGTTCTGGGTCATAACTCCTAACTGTACAACTACTGATCCCCCTTTACCTTCTATGTTACTGCAACACAGACACATCTGTCTGAGGCTTGTTTTTTTTAAAAGCAAACAACCTCTCTAGCTAGTATGGACTCGCGCACAGATCAAACAACTGAATGTGACAATCGTATGGACTCAAAACATTGAGCTAAGCCTTTCCTTTCCTCTGTCCTCCCTCCATCCTGTCACGAGCCAGAGGCCCTGCAGCACCATCAGCGTGCCGCCTGCTTTTCTTGCCACGGCTTTGTGAAACACATCAAGCTGCATTTTCAACAGCACTGCTGACTGAGCCACAGAGCTCTGCCTCTGTTTTCACAAGCAGCCTGCTTTGAGGAAAAGAAGGCTTTATATTCACCGCCTCACTACCTGTGGCTTTGCTGCTCAGGTGTTAAATCCTCTGGCTGTACACCGGCAGGGAGACATTACAGCATCCAGTGACAAAGATAAGAGAAATGAGGACAGTGAGTGTTTGTAAACCATTCTCCCCTGAGGATCAAAAAAAGTGACAGCTGCTGAGTACATGGTCACATGGTCAGATGAGTTTAAATACATGCTCCGATTGACCAGAACCTTCCTTCTACCCATTCTTTTTTCTAACTATCTTTCAATCCTCTGTGCTTTGTTGTGTCTCTACCTTTCCTCCTCCCTTGTCTCTGCACATTCATATTTGAAAAGACCTTTGATAAGACTAAATAGAGACAGACTGTTGGTTAAATGTATGTGATGTGTGTGCGTGTCAGGACGAGGTGCTGGAGCTAAACCGGAGGCTGACAACCATCGACTGCCAGTTGAGGAAGTCTGAGCAGAGCAGGAAACACCTGGAGGTCTCCAACAAGAAGCTGCTGGGCTTTGCACAGGTACACCTTTAACTGGACACCCTCATGTAAAAACTGTTTTTCATGTTAAATATATATTCAAAAAGTTTTCATTTAGTTATTAAAGAATAAGTTGAGATGAGAGTCTATATATTTTTCTTTCTGTCGATAAATTCCATGTAGAGGCAATGAACAATGAATGTGTTCTATTCACAAGTCTTATGTGTGGATCCTAAGTCTGGTCTATGTTAGTCCTCTGTGCCACAGAGTGAGCCACACTCCTGCACTGGGTGACACGTCTTCACTACTTTGACCAAACACACTGTGTCTGTCACGTCTCATAATCCATGCAGACTGGGACACTTCATGCAGTCTCATACACTGGATTCAACAGACAGCACTCAGAGACAATCAAAAATACCATGATAGTTCCAAACATCCCCACGTGCTACCAGTCTCCTTTGCTGTTATGGAGCCAGGCTGCCCCCCAGTGGCTGAGAGACACACTGCAGCTCTCTGCAACATTGGATAGATGTTTAGATTGGATCTAGATATAGGGACTTGTCTTTCCTCCCTGACCCCAGCTCTGAAAATCCACTCGACGAAGGATTTCCAGTTGTTGTAGATAGTTTTGCCTTCTCTTGCTTCTAACAGTTCAACATCAGAATATCCATTTTACATGGAGACGTGAGAAGACTATCTGACAGGCCTTAACCACTATTAAATTTTGTTTATGCCTACAAGAAAATTAAGAAAAGTATGAGGTAATGTCACACGTTTCTGTAATATGTGCCACTTGAGGATCAATCTTGTTGTGAAAGTGGTTCTTGCATGAGACCTAACACCCTGGTTAGGTCTCCGGGTCAGGTTTACATGGGTCCAAGTCTGCCTCTCATGCAGGCTTTGAAATCAGATCTCCCCCTTCAGCTCTCTCTGAATACACTTTATCACCTTCTTTGTGACCTTGAGGTCCTTGTTTTGGTGTCACATGAAGAACTGATGTCTGTACTTGTTCAGTGTTGTCCCAGAACCTCACAGAACTCATCTCTGTCCTCAGAACGTCCACAAAGTGCTGACAACACCCAGCCTGTTTGGAGGAGACGGCGGGTAAGAGACTGAACATCTGCTACTCAACATCATGTTATTAGTTAACACAGCTCTGCAGTAAGAGTCCTGCTGCAACCACTGTCTGTGTGTTCTTTATCAGCAGCAACAGATCGTCTCCAGCCACCGACAGCCCCGACACCCCATCACCACTTCCTGATCCCGCCTTCCAACTAGCTGTGGAGGCCAAAGAGCTGGTGGCAGGAGTCTGTACCCTCCCTGCTGATGATACAGGTCAGACTGGAATATAGCACACCACACTTGTGCATTGATTAGATAATTGAATCTTTTATCAATTTTTTCCAAAAACAATTTCCAAGAAATTCTCAAGGACACCAGGAAATCATGAAGGGCATCTTTACTGTTTTTGAGTGACCGCTTAAACGTTAATCTCTTTTAGTGTATACTAGAAACATTAGACTTCATCGAGACCAAAAATATCCACAGCTAATATTCATGGCAATCTGGTGTGCAGTTGTCAAGACAGATTGATCTGGGTCAAAGTGGTGTACTGATGGACACACAATCTAATTATCTCCAGACAAAATAGCAGAGCCAAGTCACAGTCAGGCAGGTGGGTGATGTGCTTTGTATTAGAAGGTGCATGGTGTACAAAGCACACGTAGTTTTAGTTCAACAGAAGAACATACTTCATCGAAGGCCACCATCAGTTCATGGCACATCAAACTTTCCTTATCACACTCCATCAGGCTATACATACAGGATACATTTTTAAGTATGAGATATTTAAATTAAGCAGCTGTTTCTCTTTTCATTTGTTCCTGGCCATGAGATCAGTTTTCCTTTGTTCTATGGGATGTAAACTTACATGACGATGATGAAAGATTGTTACTGTATGTACTGAAAGTCTTTTTCTGTCCAACTGTGATTGACCTGCAGCATCCGTGAGTGCACTGGAGGCAGCATCAGTCCCAGATGTCAGTCCTCATCATATGTGAGCAACAAAGGCCTTGTTCAGACTGCCAGCCCAAATCTGTGTTTCATATCCAGATTGATTTTAGGTCTTAAATCTGGACCGCAACAAATCACATTAAATGCCATTTTTGTAAATCTGATCCCCGCCACATTAGGAGGTTCGGAAGTGTCTTTTGGCGGCAGCGTCATATCCAGAGTGACGAAGTGCATCAAAGCGACAGCAGAATCCTGCTGCGTGCTGTCAAGTTGCTGTGTGAGAGAGGACGACCTCTGCACAGCGACTTGACAGCGTGATTGTTCGCAGGGCAACATGAAACATTTCCCATACTTCCATGCTGGAAAGCTGCCTCACCAGTGTATGTAGATACTGTGTCGTTACCACAGCAACCCATGCAGATAGGCTGGTGATGTCTGGACACGCACTGATCACTTTCAAACTACAGTCCTTCTGTTTTAAAGATCTGATTTGAGAAACAAATCTGATTTGCCTGCAGTCTGAACAAAGCCGAAGAGCCAGAGAGGACTGTGGGAGTACCTGGGCAGGGTGAAGAGGCCGAAAGAGACGCTGAACCCGTGATGAACCACACCATAAACCAAGACAGTACGCCATAAAATACACCTTCTCAAAATAACGACATCGCTTCAATGAATTCAAAACCTCAGTTCACGGTGACAGATTGAACACAGCCAATGTTTTAATGCCAAATCTTGCTCGCACACATCCAATTAGTGTCTTCCTTTGAAATATTCCAGTCTTTATGGAGGGTTCAGCAATGATGTGTTGGACTTAGTCACAACCTGAGGACTCATCATTTGATGATAAGTACAGAAGTCTCTGTGAGAAGTGCTCTGCCAAATAAAGTCTGCTGGAATCCTCTTTTGTGTTACTCTGACAGCAGGTGGTGTTGGAGGAGCTGCATGATCGAGTCCACAACACACACGATGCTGCAAACTGTGTTAATACTCCTCCTGGACTCTTTTCTAAACACCCCCACATAGATTCACTCCATGGATTGCATGTAAAGGAGGACTTGTTTACTTGGAAAGGAACGGCCAGAGCTGGCCTGTTCAAAGAGTCTTCCTCGTGTCATAATAACTTGCTTCCATCTGCCTCCATCACTCACCATCACTTATTTGCTCTGCCAGAGGTTATGAACTGGGGGAAAAAAAGCAACAGTGTCCTGTTTTCCATCTTGCTTAATGCTCCTTGTGCACTTATTCAATAATTAAAGGCAAAGAATGAAGTATTGAGACAATCTGGACTTGAGCAGTGTTTGTTACCTGCGACTTCATATCACTGCATGGTTCACGTTGATGTCTCCTGCATCCAGGAGTGGCTAAAATGTTGCTGTAGCTCCTGCTGTCTGTACTTGTGTTTGGTAGTCACAGAGTCTAGACAGATATCAGTCATAGGCAACATGCGGAACATTCATTTTATTTATACAGACAGCTGCAAATACTGATGTCCTGTACTTCAACCAGATTGCATCGTTGGTGTGGCCTCATTTCTTTCTGTTACTGTTTTATATTAAAGGAATAACTGATGACTGAATTTGATGTTGGGTTCATTCGAGGTTCCAAACATTTTATTTCCATTACTTACAGTACTACAGCAGTGTTTTCAGTGTGAAATGTGAGGAAATGATATGAAATGAGAAACGAGCAGCTTACAGATTCCCACAGACTTGTGCCTTGTACAAGGCTTCGCTCAGGGTTACACTGCTACACAGCTGAGCTCAGACAGTGAGTACTGATGACAAGGTAATTCCAGTTTTTAGAGATCTACAACTGTGGTGAACAACTGCGATATATAAAAGAGAACACAAGAAGACAGCGAGGGCTGACCGAGTGTTTTAGGTTTCATTCAAACAGAAGAGCAGGCGGTATTTACAGGAGCCACAAGGAAGATCACCGTGGAGCAAAGAAACATGAATTCACTTTAATCTACCTCAGCCACAGGAAGCACAGCACACAAATACAGACATAAAGATGAGTAAACAGAAATAAACTAAAATAAATAGCCTAATGAAAAAAACAGTTATTAGAATAAATTTAACAATAATAATAATGAAGTCTTAAAGGATAAGTTCACATCAAGTCAAAATACCCACATGTCCATCTGTATGCTGAAGGTACCGTTTTTTCACTTTACTGTCCATACTGGCTGCAAAGATGTTTCTTCTTGATCATTTACCATCAACACATTCTCTGTGCTGAGCTGCTGCCATCTTTCTCTCCCTTTGCTGGTTGCCCATGAGGCTGGTTTAATTATCGCATTAATAACACGGCGCTGCCGCCGTCCTTCCTGCCACCTCCAGTTTCCCACTGTACATTGGTTACCATTGGAACAGTTCGTCTCAAACGGAGTCAACTAGAGGACTCCTCGTGACGGGCCAAGTGAGCATTCAATGCAGACTCGAGGGTTTCTTTGAAAGTTGTGTAGTTGATCATCAGGAGTTTTCTCTCTCTCTCTCTCTCTCTCTCTCTGACTATGATTATTGTTAATAAAATATATCCTATAATTGCCATAAAATGAAGCTTTATTTCAGATGAGAGTCTTGAGATCAGTCAGACTTTTTCATGTGTGCCTGTCTCATGTGTTCTTCAGTTTCTGTAAATTAAAAGTAAAGTGAATCATCAGGGGAGGAGTCTCTGTAGGGAGCCACAGTGCTCTGCTCTGAGGGAAGAAGAGGTCCGACCTGACTGTTTCCAGGGGCGTCTGCTCCTCACAAGCTTCTGGACTCAGAGTTTGTATCAAAACCAGAATGGTCCATCAGAACTGGACAGACCATGGTGAGGAACTAGAACGGTCTCTGGAAGGTGATGGGGGGTGAACCCACGCTGCTTGGGCTGCGGAGGTTCGAGTCGTAGGAGCTGGGTGTCATTCCCACGATGCCCTCGGTCTGGGGCGTCTCCCCACACAGGAAGTCATCCTCGTCCTCCCTCGAGCACTGAGACAGAATGAACAACCACAAGCACAGTTTACGTGAACACGAGCCAACTCTCAGGGAGTACACGACACTGAAACTGGATGATGCACTTTTGCAATTTTTTTTTTTTAATCACATCGCTCACATCATTCATATTTTCTTGTATTTTATAGTTCATGCTCTACCTTTACTATATTTACATCTGTCACTCATTCAGTTCTGGGTTTTTTCCCGAAATGATTGTATATGTTTAGTTCATCTTAGCACACAGAAAAGGGACTTTAAGGAACACTCCTCTAGTTTTCCAGAGTATGCCTCAGCCTGTGAACACATGGTTTAATGTATTCTGAGGCTCTGGAGGAGCTTTGTCTTGAAAATAACCCTAATGATGTCAGCAGGGTTATCTCAGTTTGTGCTAGGAGACAAAAAAATACTACGTTGGAGAGTTTGAAACTAGGCAGGTCTAACAAAAGTTGCATTACAGGATCCAGGGTTTTTAAATGACCTATTTTGCAGACTAAAAGCCGGGACTGCTCAGCCTCTGCTCGTTTAGTTATGTGTATACAAACGCTGATGGATTTTTTAAAATATTTTTTCATGGAGCTCTATTTTATTACCATTTTAGCCATCGTAATTTAGTTCATGTTTTACATATTTCTGTATTTTGCTGAATGAGAATAAAAGGAACCTTGAGTCTTCAATTTTGATGATCTTCTTAGAGCTGAAACGATTAGTCAATTAACTGATTAGTTGCTCAACAGAAACTAATATTGACAGCTATTTTGATAATCATTTACATTTACTCATTTGGCCAACAACGCTTTTATCCAATAGATACTAGTAAGAGCTAATAGCACATTATATGGTATCAACAGGGTAAATACCTAGAGAAAGTAGTAAGAGTTAAGAATTTGTGCAATTAATACAAGAGAATTGTATGAACCATTTATAGAAGTTTCACCGCACAAGCTGAAGACCTTCAAGGAGGGCATTGCAATAGTTGAGTCAAGAGATCACCAGGGCCTGTACCAGAAGCTGGGTGGCGTACTGAGTGAGGTAGGCATGACCAAGAGACAACAGCAACATGGTCAGGGAAGTTGGTTATAGTGATAGTTGAGGAGCCAGTTTGTAGTTTGACGTTATTGGTGGATAAAGTTCAGTCTTAGAGGTTTAGTTGAAGGTGGCAAGCTTTCATCAATGTGAATATGTCTGAGAGAGAGTCTGTGATCCGCGCCGAGAAGTTGGGATCGTCTGGTAGAGTTGCGTATCATCGGCATAGCACTAAGAGAAAATAGGGAATGATCGGCCCCAGTGAGGTGGTGTAAATTGACAAGGGGCCTTAGCACCGAGCCTTGTGGAGAGGCAGTGAGATCATACATTGCAGGAACGCCCAGTGAAGTACGATTTGAACTACAGGAGGTCTTTGCCCAAGATGCCCATTGCTGAGAGTGCGGATAGCAAGATCCTGTGATTGACTGTGTTAGCTGATAGGTCAAGCAGGATAAGAACCGGACTGGGCTGCAGCTCTAGCTGACCTTAGGCCTTCTGTCCCAGACAGCAGAGCTGTTTCAGTGGAGTGGCCACTAAAATTAACCCTTTAAGTTATTTTCCCCCACAAAAAAACATTCTTGGTTTCAGGGTAACCACTGTGTGGACGTGGCTGGTTCTCTGCTTTATGTAATTGTTAAGCATGTGGTACCGGACCTGCCTGATCAATTTTCACTGTTCTAGCTGTTTTCCGTCCAAAAACAGAGGCCATTTGTGAGACCGTCTGGCAGGCCGCCACCTTGGTGAGGTCGGCTGAGCTGATAAGTTTAGTTTCTGTCATCAGATTGAAGTACAGAATAAGAGTTTGCTTTGGCAGAGGTCTTTATCGGCCTCTGCTGACGACCCGTAGGAGCTACACAGACATGCACGATATCAATCGATTAGTCTCTTCAATACGAAGAGAAAGAGGATTTTCTGTTCTCAAACTGGCCTGTAAAGCATGGGAGTGCTTTTGGTCACAGGAATATTGACCGTTTTTAATCAATATTTCAATGTTTTGGAAGCTTTATGTTATTTGGAACGTGGTTGTATGGAGAGAAATAATGTTTTGAAGATAACTACCAATAAAAGTGAACATATAAACACTAAATATGCCAAAAACATGGACATTCGCCTGCAATTTTTTTGAAAGATTGTGTGATAACTGCTGTATCTCAGTTTCTTTTCATCAAATTTACAGTTACAGTTGTATTCCAGGTGTATTAGAAGATATTCAGGTGCATTATAATCTACCTTCTGATGGTTTTGATGGATTATTGCATAAAAATATAGCTTTTTTTTTTTTTTTAAACCAGGAAAGGATGAAAATATATTTTTTCTGTATTGCGTCTCCATGTAGTCTGGAATGGTAAATTAAATATGTTAATGTACAATGGCCTGCGATGGACTGGCTACCTGTCCAGGGTGTACCCTGCCTTTCGCCCGATGTCAGCTGGGATTGGCTCCAGCCCTCCATGACCCTATATGCAGGATAAGCGGTTGACGATTGATGGATGGATACATTGGATTTATATTCCTTAGCTTCTGACCTTTCAAAGGAGACCAGAATTATGCATCTAGGCCTAATGGTTGAGGAGATATTACAGATTTATTTTGGCAGTTAGGTGGCAGGTACCACATGGTTAACTGAGTCAGTATCTTGGGGGTTTGGACTGTTGGTCTAAACACACTTTACAATTACATTGGGCTCTGTGAAACTCTAATGGGAATTTAGACGATTTTAGACAAAATGATTAATCAAGAAAATAAACATTAATAAATATAATGCTTTAACATTTGTCTCTGGCAGATCCCCCCCAACTTAATGGCAGTGCAATAGTAAAATGCTGTTCACCCTTCTGTCATCTCACCTGTTGGCCTGTTTTGGTTGGAAGCAGCTCTGTGTCTGCTAGTTCCTCCCAGACCTGGTACAGTGGCTCAATCAGCTGACCAGACCTGCACACACACACACACACACACACACACACACACACACACACTTTTCTTGAGTTTTGTTCATGCAGTTTAAGTATCCTGGTCCAGACATTTTTTGCACAATCACCAAACATAGAGTCTTCTGGGGACTAGGCGTCATTTATGACCATTTCACAAGTTATTGACAAAACAATCTGACCACAAAGTCCAGGTGTCATGGAACTGTTAACTTCTCTCTCTACAGATGCTGAATGGAAGCGGTCACTTCTTTACACAGATTTAAAGGTTTTTCAGTCATCACACAGCTTCCAATGCCTTTGAATTCCTTCAGATAAAAGCTGAATCCCTGCCTATTCAGCACCCCACTAAAACCATGAAGACATAGTTTGAAATTTCAACTCGGTAATTGCTGAGGGAAGTAAAGATGGGGTCACAAGACATAAAAAAAAAAAAAGAGTTCCATTTGCTGTCTTTCTCAAAAACATTCCATTACAGAGAATAATCAGCCAGTGTACCTCTTCAGCAGGTAGGGGTCGAAGGGGAAGAAGCTGTCAAGAGGGTTGGTGTTGGTGGCCACACTGTCTCCCCCTGCAGAACTGCGGACCACTGGCAGCACATGGCGGTTGTTCTTCTCTATGATAGTGTAGCAGAACACCACCTG